CATCTGGTAGACTATAGTTTTAGGAAGTTTAGTAGCATAAATGATATATAGAATACTTTCTGTCTTCTTTTGTAATCCCTACAATATGTATTATAAATTACTTTATCAAAGCTAATAAACAAGGCTGAGTCAGCAAAAAAAAATATATATATAATTTTATTTATTTTATAATATTAATATTATAATAATATATAATATATATATAATATATATATAATTTTATTTACAAATAATGTTTTTTAACTTTAAATATTTTTTAATAAAATTTCAACTCAAATTAAATTAAAATAAGTAAAATTTTTTTAAAAAATAAAAATTTTTGTTGCATATTTGAAAATAACTTTTGATTTAGATAATTTCTAGAAAATAATATTTTGCTTTAGTATTAAACTTTTACTATATTCTTTTCTTAAATTATTTTATTTTATTTTGAAAAAAAAAATTATTTTTTTTTTGCTATTCAAAGTTTAAATTATGATTCTATTATTTTTAATATTGAACTAATATTTAAATTTTAAATAAAGAATAAAAAAATAGAATAAGTTAAGCGAAAAATATTTTGTAATATATTTGTAAAATATATTATAATGACAGTTTTTCAATTTTATTAGTTAAAAAATAAAAAAACTTTTAATAAATATTATTTCAAAGAGATAATTATAATGATTGATAGAAAGAATGACTCACTATTATATAAAGTTATATAATATTATAAATATTTATTTAATATTTAATAAATAATAGATAATAGCATAGTTATAATTAAAAAAAAATAGATAAATAAAATATTTATAATTAAAATTATATAACCAATATATTATATTTTTATAATAATAAATTAAAGTTAATATATAAATATAAAATTAATATGAAAATTAAATTTTAAAAAATATTATCGCTAAACACAAATTATTTATAATACTTTTGAAAAATCCGCGTAAGAATAATAGTCAAACAAACTCATGACAGTAACAAGTGGCACTATAATAAATTTCAAAATATTTGATTATATAAAAGGTCTTCGTATAAAAACAAAAAAATATACTGTATATCGGAATAATAAGCACTTGTTAATACTCGAGAAAAGGTTTTAATTTAAAACTTTAGTTTTACAATTTTCGATGTATAATATTTTTATGCAGTATAGGCATATTTGGAATTTACCAAGCACAAGTTTATCCCAAGGGTCAAGCGAGTATAATAATCATTCCCTAATAGTACCTTTGTTATGTATAAATTACGTACGAACAATCAATCATTAACCAAACATTTTTTTTTTTTTTCGTCAAGCATTCGTCAGCTTTATAGAGTATATATGCCATTTTCAATTGTCGTCTCATATAGATAACAAATGTTCTAGAATATACAGTATTTTCATTTCACAAATGCACATCAATATAAAAATTGCTTCGACTTTACGTCACGTTCTTTCGTGCGTTCATGTTGTTGACTTCATAATGAATACTTCGTACGCTGCATGTACAACAGAGTTTTATTATTATTATTATTATTATTATTATTATTTCAATTCATCAAGCAAACTATTTTTTCCTAATCAGATGTTATTTCAATTTGTGATACGGAAGGTGGATTTGTGTTTAAGATTGATTATTTTGCACCAAAAAAATAAAAAAATAAAAAAAATTTTTTTTTGACTCCTAAAATAAAAACCTAATTTGCATAGGACATATATATAATGCATAACAATCTTAGGAACAGCATAATTGTAAAATCAAATCTATTCTAACAAGCTATCATAATCTATAATAAATTTCTTATCTCCAAAAGATAAAATGATTTTTCTGAAATTTAGAGCATTCGGCATTGAACCAACCAACATTCTACTTGTGATGTATAAATCCTGATGCACTCTGACGAAATCGTTAGAAAATGAGATGACCCCCGTCTAGCTATCCTCCTATGATTCGTTAATGGAGCCAGGATTTTCTGTACGAGATGTCATTAAACTATACATCATACTTCTAGATACTTAATGTATATATACAGGTTTGAGGTGTCGTTCTAATCGTTTTATTCACGTCAAAACAATATCCTTTTAGATGATCTTGTTGTTCTTGTTAATTGAAGAGCTCTTACTAAAATTCAATATAAAACCGCGTAATAATATTCAGGCATTCCGCGTAGCTATTTAATATGCTTTTTTTCTTTTGTAGACCCTTTTCAAAGATACATCTTCCACATCACCCGCATTTCGCGTGGTCCTTCTTCCTCTCCTTCCCCCGCGACTACCAGTTCTACTAGGATTTCCCGTAGCTTTCGATTCATCCGTTCCATCAATCGAACTGACCTTGCGTTTTCTATAAGGAGTCAGTCCCGGAGATGTTTTTGTTCCAACGATTGGAAAGTGCCATTTATTTCTTGTGTCGCTGTTCGAGTCACTGTCATCTTCATCATCGACACTATCTGAATCAACCTCATCCTCTTCAGAATTATCGTCGCTTCTCTGAACAATCGACGATGATTTTGCTGATTCACAAGAGTTTGACAAAGATCGATTGTGCACCTTTGCGGACGCGCGCTCTTTAGTTGATAGGAGTTTTGCTATTCTTAAACTTCCGCGACGTGTCGTAGACTCGCGGCTGGGATTGTTTCGCAACGCAAATTTACCTTTCAGTAAAGACGACCTTGTTACTCTATCAACGGAAATGGTTTGCCTTCGTGACCTCGCATTTTTTCTCTCAGAGTTTATCGATTCTACTTCGTCATCATCATCTACCAATTCCTTTTCTGCAAGTTTCTCTTCCTCTTCCCCGCCGAAATCATCCACCCCCCTTCCTCTACCTTTTTGACTCTTGATTTCCAACTCCGATGCATCATTGGTTGATGGGGACTGAGCAATTTCTTCAGCCTCCACATCTTCACCATCTTCCCAATAATCATAATCCGAATCACTATTATCACCAACATCATCTTCCTCGCCACGCTCACCATCACCATCATCACCAACATCATCTTCCTCGCCACACTCACCATCAATCTTATTTTCAACATGATCATCAACGTTTTCATCATCCACCTCAATATCCCGAGCATCTTCAATGAGATGCAGTTTTTCGTTAGATTTGGAGGACGACTTTTGGGATGAATTGTCACCCCTCTTCATATGATTTTCATCATCACAATGATCACTCCCGTTTATATCTGAACCATTGGATCCTGACGATCTTGAAGTGGAATGTGAAAATGGTATTGAATTTTCGATGCTTTTATTGGTAGCGGGTTTTGACGGGATTTCATTTATCGGCGCCGAACTTTGGATTTCGTCCGTCTCACTCGTAAAAGCAGTCAATGGAGTCACCAGCAAAGGAGTGGCCGGTGACCCGCGTTCGGTAGCTGAAATCTTAATTATATTTTCAGAAGCGGGCGGTGATTGAATGGTGGATGCATGCCGGGGTAACTTGGTCCTACCTCCCATGATCGTGTCTCTTGATGATGAGACAGACTCGGAAGTTGTGGATGTCAGTTTAGGGGTTGGTAATTTTGCGACTGGTGATTTCGGTGTCAGCAATTGAGAAGGAATCGTAAAAGATGTGGAAGATGAACCATTGTCAGGAGATTTGTTTGATGCCTCCCGAGCTCCTTTTTGATATTCCGATGGTGGTGGGGAGATGTTTTCCTCAACAAAGCAAATGGTACCCTTAGACATTGCTTGTTTTGCATTCTCATATTGTATTTTTTCTTGCTCGTGTTTGTGATGGTATGGCTGAATTGATTATGAGAAGGGACAGGAGATCGGTGAGCCCATAAGATCCATAGATTGTAATAATGTCAGGTAATGACGTATAAAATGATGATGATTGTAATAAATAGATAAATCAATAAAGATGATGAATCGATAAATGAATGAATAATCAATAATCTTTATGGACGATGGTAATAATGAAGATAACCACAATAAATAATAATAAGAAGAATAATAATAATAGTAATAGCTGATAACGGGTATGCAATAATTGAATATAATGTTCGTCAGATAAAGGAATAAACCCACATACCATCTGCTCCTCCTTTGACATATTCTTCCATCTTTCACCGATCGCAGCAGAGATCTCACCAAATTTCAGATTTGGATTTTTTAATTTGGTCTCCTCGTAAACCTCATTCATGAAGATCATGTATCCATTCCTGGGCCTTTTGAGCCTATCTTGTGGTCTCTGAATGCTAAAGGAACTCTTGGTCCGTTTTCTACCGCGTTTTGGGGAAGCGGAAGACGAACCCGTGAAGATATTACCATCCTTCTCCTTTGCTTTCATTGCGTCTTCCATCATCTGCTGTTTAGTTCGACGAAAACGTTTTTTGCGAGCGGCTCGATTCTGTTCGACCAAAGGATTATTGGGATCGGTGGAGACTATGGTGTTTTTGAAATCGAATACTTGCCTTAATGTATCCGGTACTTTCATGTACGCATCGGCAGTCTACAATTCAACATGTCAACATTTTAGTTCACCGTCTTTTGAGCAAAAAATCAATGATAATGATGATGATGATGATGATTACAGCGTCGGTTCGTCTGCCCATCGTGTCCAAGAGATCACGATTTAAAACGATGGCGTTTAAATTTTTGTAAATTCCTGCCTCTTCGTTCGGAACCAATTGAATTCTCGGTATGTTCTGAACGATATTGGCAGCTGCGCCGACATGAACAGGAAAATTAGGATGAAATGCCGAGTGAAAATTGGATGATGATCGAGTGACATCTGCATTAGGTTGGAGGAGTGACCGATCATTTATTGGAGAGTGTCGAGACGCCACCGAGTTATCGGGTAGAGGAAAGTTATGGCGATGCGGAAATGCATGAGTTTGTTCTTGAGAGTATTGATGATGCGTCTGAAGCGGTGTACTAAATGGAGATCTTGTAACATCCAAGAAACCGGAATCCATATTAGCTATTGCGGCCGGAGTTGTTGAGGTCGGAGTCTCCGCCATCGTTACAGAGGGTGTGTATGTACAGGGAGTATCTGCGTTGAGAATGTTGGCTATACTTGCTTTGTTCATTGTTTATGTTACTGTTTTGAAGATGAATGAATTCGAACCAAAAGTCGAGAAGGAAGTTAAAAAAAAACGAAAAAGATGCGATAAATAAAAAGAAAAAAAAAAAAATTATAAACAGTAGCGCAGGTTATCAATAGAGAAGAATGGAAAAAGGTAGATTAGTATAAGGTTAAAAAAAAAAAAGGATGTATTGAATTGATTTCTATTTATTGCATTTTCACATAGAAATAACCAAATAAGGTTAAATAAAAGTTCGAAACACATTTTTAAGTTCTTCCGGATGACAAAAACAAGAACAATAAATAGCAACACTGGTAAAGGGCAGTTCCTGGCAAATACCATTATTAGCAACGTGCCCATCAATTGAATTTTAAGCAAACGAGTTCACCTTCTAAAACCAGTGATTATCTTTGCACCTGGGTCTTGCGCTCATTAAGGCTTTCAATGACACCGCGATTATTCCGTAAGATCGGATATTGAACGAGAAGAATCATCTGAAAACACCTACTTTTATTATTATTATTATTTATTATTGAAAAAACTTTGACTCCAAGATAACGAGGGTCTAACAACCGGTACGTGTCTACTGAGGATTGCCTTATTGTTTCTAATGTTGTACTTTTTTTTTTAACTAAAGAAGCCGTGTTTATAAAAAAGAATATTCTTTAACGAAAGAGAGATAATTTGCTATCTACAGTGACACCCCATGCGAATACGAATAAATAAGTAAGTGCTTTATTTTACTATTACCATTATTATTATTTATTTATATGCTTGTGTGAAAAAAAAGATAGACAAAATCCAGATGATTGGTATTGTTAATATCAGGTGGTACGTTAATCCCGGTTAAGATTTATACTATTACGTATACTGTGCGTTAAATAAAGCAATTGCCAAGCAACATGATTGTTGCTATTTAATAAGGACTGTGTTAGGTGCTGTGTTGTGTTGCAAACGTAACCTGGATAAAAGTTATTTCCAGTCGTTTAACAGATGAATTGTTTCGATTTAAAAAAGTTCGTACATTTGACATGCAAAATTGCATTTTAGTACGCACGGATGACGCGAGAAATACAAAATCGGAAAATTACCAAGATATTTATTTCAAGAGATGAATAGTGAACAACGTTGTCCAAATCATCCGCGACCAGAGTCAGTATCGTTAGAAAACGACAAACACTTTCGATATTCCAGTCCAGTGCCCGTATTTGGATAATTATTTCGATAGGCGGACAGGGATTTTTCGGACCCCATAATTATGATCCTAAAATTTGCATTATACTGTATACATATTATTCAAGACTGTGGGGGGGGGGGGGTTCGAAAAAACCATATTTAATATTTTGGTCGCCTTCAAGAATAATTGCTGACCACACTTCTTCACCTAACCGTGAAACAAACATAATATAATGAGCACCACTAACGTTATGGTCAATCTTTATTATTCCTGCATTAGCGTATCCCTTATTTATTATGCACTTCCATTTCCAATTGAGGATGCTCTCTTAACTGTGCGCATCGAATTCACGCATCTCTTCTTCTCTCTTATTGCATCTTCCTAACTGCACAATTCAATGATTGTCATTCGCGTTGAATCCGATTGTTCCACATTATTTTCAATTGGAAAAGGTAGTAGTGTTGCTTCATGCCATCATTTAGATTGTCAATCTCACATGAGACAATCCCACTTCCCGATATGCAATAGCCGCAAAGGAGATGTGGTCATACTTCACCTCCCATATTTGACAATCTTCGCTTTAAAAAATTGCCCACAAAGGATGATCCGTCGTTCGCTACTGATATGGTCCGCATGAGTTACCGATTTGAAGGGTACATTACGTATCATCCATCATCTTTTTGGCTTTTAACATCTCATCATATCTTCCGATCTTTCGTCAATGTGATTATAATGCAATGCAAAAGTTGCGACAAGTTTCTATAATACTCTTTACATCGTATTTGTTGATAAAAGTATAATATAGTATTGATGAGTTTAAACTTTTTAAATCATGCATGAATACCTGAAAATAAAATGCTAGATGTTGAAAAGAATAGCTAATTAACGTAACTATTTTTCGGTAATAATAAAAGTGGGTTGCGCAACGTTTCACTCGCTGCACTAGATCAAAATTGCCATCTTCATCTTTAAATGTCGATACGTACCAGAGACATGTACACCTTACGTAAGTACGCATATTGGTAGGCAGCAATGCGCAAATGAAGTTTATTTAGATTTCCGTAAGGCAGTTGATTGACTTATAAGTATTAATTATAATCTTTTCTTGTCACAAGGCTTTAAAGACAACAATGAATGACCTTTTTTTTTTTTAACCATTTCATTTGTTCGATCATTCTGAAGAAATTGACTGTCATCATACCCAGTAGCTTCTAAAAGAAATTTCCTGTATCTGCTCAAAGTGAAAAACCAATAAAAATTTTTTATTAAAATTACGTATTTCGTACAGATAATGGCGTGCGTCAAAAAAATAACTGTTTTTCTTATTATTCAATAATTTAGGCTACATTGTATACATACTTTGCATATATTTATATATGATATATTATGCAACAATATTTGTTTATAATGATTATATAAAGTCTTAAAAATGAAATATAATTTAACAATAGAATTATTTTTGAAAAATCCAAATTAATTAAAAAACTTTTTTTTTTTTGTTTTCTTTTGCAACAATTTATTAAGTCACTTATTTTATTACCAGTCAATTGCTAAAGTCAATTGTTTTTTATAATGCCAAATAAAATGAAAAATTACATTAGAAAAAAAAAATAAAAAGTATAAATATAAAATTTTATAAATATGTTAAATAAAAAGATAAAAGTAAAAATATTTTAATATTTATTGAAAAATTTGATGTTTTTATAATCTATCTTTTCTTAATAAGTTAATATCTTTATTAAAATATTTTTTTTTCTTTTTGATTATTGAAAAAATCTATTTATTTTTTACCTTTCTTTTTTATATACAATATATATTTTTATTAAGATTTATATATTAATTAACTTATTATTTTTTATCATTAATTAAAAACCACAGTACTTTAAATATATGAACTTTACTAAACTAATTTGCATTAGTCAAAATTGCAATATTTGACAATTAAATTATTACTAAATTTTGTTAAATTTATTAATAAAAAAGATAAATAAAAAATTTTTTTAAATAATGTTATTCAATATATTACTATTTTAACAATCAAAAATTCAGTAATAAATCATTTATAAAATAATAAATAAAATGTTTAACAATATAATTAATTAACAATTTATTAATAATCTATAAAATTTTATTACAAAATTATTTATTAACAATTTAATAAATTATAAAAAAAAATGTTTATATTTATAAATTATTTGATATTGTTTATATAATAAAATAAAATATCATATTAAATAGTTATCAAAAAAATTTTTTTAAAAAACTTTTTTCATTAATTCTTGTTTATTAAAAAAAAATTTTTTTTTAATAATTTTTTGAGAAAAAGAGAAATTAATCAAAAAAACAAAAGAAATCACTTTTACAATCAAACAATTTATAAAAAACAAGTTCAAAGGTACTTTATAGAATATAAAAGAAGTAAGTATTTACAAAATTACTAATTTCCACTATATACTATAAATTGTTTCTTTTAGAAAAAAAAAAAATCCCCCGAATTATAATAAACTCTTGAAAGTTTAACATTAACTTCACAAAACTTTTAAAATATATTTTTAAAATCACTGGTTTAAACTTATATTGATTAAATATAAATAGTGTTACCAACAATAAAAAAAAAAAATCAATTAATTTTTGTCAATTAATTGAAAACTCTTTTTTTTTATCTTTTTCTTAATTAATCAATTATTATTAGACAAATAAATTTGATCAAAAATTAGTTGTTCATTTTGAGTTACAATAAATATAATCAAAAACTGATCAATATGAAGGGAGGGTTGTGAATTAGATCTTATAATACCTAATAGTATGGAAGAGATGAATTTTTAAATAAAAGAATCTATAAATTTATTTGTCTATATAACAATAGATTAATTTATCAACTGATAATTTTTTTCTAGTTCAAAAAATTTAATCAATCAATTTGAAAATGAAAGAATAGGTATTTTTTTTATTTATTTTATTTATTATATGATTTATTTTAACATTCTTATTTATTTTATATAATGATTGTATATTAATTTACAAAGTATTAAAAAAGTTTTAAAGTTTTGCATTGATAGGATAAAGCATGTAGAATAGATAATTTTGCAAATATATTTTTTTATAGCATATAGGGTGAATAGTTTTGCAGATATATTTTTTATAATATATCAGATAAATAGTTTAATAGATATATTTTTTATAGCATATAGGATAAATAGTTTCATAAATCTATTTTTATAGCATATAAATAAATAGTTTCACAAGTATATTTTTTTATAATATATAAGATAGATAGTTTTATAGATAGATTTATAAAGCATGTAGAGTAGATAGTTTCACAAATAAATTTGTGAAACATGTAGGGTAAATAGTTTTATAGATAGATTTGTGGAGTTTGGAAAATAGATAGTTTCACAAATAGATTTGTAAAGTATGTAAGATAGATAATCAAATTAATATTTATTAAAAAAAAATAAAATTTTTAAATATTTGCTGATATTCAAAATTAAACAAAATAAAAAAAAAATTATAACAATAAAAATTTATCAAATATATAAAATTAGTTTTTATTTATTTTCAAATTCTCGATATTAGAATCAATCTTATTTTAATTTTTCTTTTATTATTATTTTTTGTTTGTTATACAATAAAAAAAACTTTTTACCATTGATAAAAAAAATTTATAACTATTATTTCAAGTGACAAAAAAATATTCAACATTATTAATAGTATAAGCAACCTCTGTTAGATTACTTATAATATTGGTGTATATAAC